TGGGCATTACCTCACCTTTCCAAACTCCCACTCCCCCATCTTTAAAATGAGGACAATAATTGAAAGTACCTCATAACGTTATGAGGGTAGCTAAGACCATGAATCCCAGTACTTAGCGCTGTGCCTGGCACACGGTAAGCTCCGCCCTGTAGTGTTAGCAATTATGCTTGTTGTTATGAGCTAAGGGTTGTTTGCTGAGACACTGACGAACTTGCCTAGCTACTGAGGAGGCAGCCAGGCTGCAGAGGGAGGGAAAGCCACATCATCTGGGAGAAAGCGAAGGGCACTAGCAGTCAGAAGGCCAGCACAGGGGAAGGACTGGACCCCCCACAGACAAGTCAGCCCTCAAATCTCAGCTCTGTACACAGCTGTGTAACCTCGGGCAAGTCCCTTCACCTCTCTGGGCCTCAATGTCATCCCCTGTCATTGGAGACCAAAAATCCCCACTTCTCAAGAGTGTTGGGGATCAGATGAAATGATGTGAGTGCAAATACCCAGCACAGGCCTCACCTGCATTACTTTACTACCCCCAGTGATCTGGGGCTGTTGGGCTGAATGAATGGGGGACGCAGTGAGGCGGTTCCCAGGAAGAGCAAGCAAACTCTTATCCTGGCCCAGAGAAGGTGCAGCTGGGACTGAGTGGGAGGGAGCCCAGGGCGGCAAGGGGGGCCCAGTCCCCGGAGGGGCAGGCTCCCTGTCAGAGGCTAGGGCGGGGACACGAGTGGGCAGTGTGGGTACAGCCCAGGAATGGGGTAGGTATCAGTTCAGATGGGCCCTTACTGAAGCAGCTCATACTGGGTGTGCCCATCACTGGCCAGCACACGGATGGCAGGGCTGTTCTACATAGGAGGTGACAAGCAGCCTGAGCTGTGGGCACAGGGAGGGTGAGGGTATGGGCGGGAAGGAGGGTGAGGGTGACGGTGTGGGGAGGAGACCACTGCTCACCTGGGTATCCTGGACGGAGGAGTCAAAGAGGATCCCAATGCCGTCCCTCGAGGCCAGATCCCCCAGGGCAGAGCCGGCTGCACCCCTGCCTTGGGTGTACCACACAGCCTGTGGGGCCCCAGCCACTCAGCTCCTCTGCGGGACACTGGGACCCAGGGCCCACCGACGGCTTCCCTGACTCACTCCCTCTGCCAGGCTTTGGCAGAGGCTGCTCATCATGCCCTGGGCTCCCTGGCGCCCCAGCCCAGTCACCCTCATCTGCATCTCCACCTCTCAGCTGGAGAAGAGGACAGGGGCCTTGCTCCACACAGCTCCACTTTGGTTCCGTATGGACGGGGCCAGCCGCACTTCCTCCGGGCCCAGGATGGCGTTTGCAGACCAGAGCAGCTCAAGGCCTGCGCCCCACCTTCCTCTTTCCCCATTATTCTCCCTCATTGGCCTGGCTTGGCTCTGGGAGGAGAAAGCAGGTAGCATCAAGGCCTGCCGTTAAATACTAGGCCAGCTGGTCAGGTGCAGGCCTTCTTCAGGGCCCACTGAGGAAGCAAGCACTGAAGCCCTCCGCAGCCGGGGGCCTTTGCCAGGGAAGGGCAACGAATGCCAGGCCCATGCGAGAGCGCCCTACCTGCATTCTCAGTGGAGCCTCACAAGTCTGTGGAGACTGTTTTTTTATCAGACCCCAGATGCGGAAACGGAGGCTCAAAAAAGTTAAGGAACTAAGTGGATTGGAATTCAGCTCCATCTAACTCCAAAGTACAAGCTCCTTCCACCAGGAGGGAGCTTTGTGTCCAGCTCTTTGTTTTTGAGATGAGGAAACTGAGGCTCTGTGAGGGAAAAGGACATGCCTGAGACCACAGAACACAAGAGAGCCTTGAGAGAATAACCACATGGAGGGCTCCAGTGTGCCCAAAAGAGGCTGGGGCTTCCTGGTGGGGGAAGATAGAGGGCACTCCAAGGTGAGGAAAGCGTGAAAGCTAAGGTGGAACTAGCCTGCAGGACTGTGAGGAAAGAGTGAAGGATGGAGCGTGTGTGTGTGTGTGTGTGTGTG